TAAAAGGTGAGGTCTGGACTAAGAGGGATGGAGCAGGAAATGTTGGCAGGCTGGAGATTTTTACCTTCTGGTCCAGCACAGGCACACAGGATCCAGCTGAGGCTTGAGATCTGATCAGAGCAGGCAGTTACTGGGGAAAAGGATATTGGGGGTTATCACTACTGCTCATACATTCCCCAAGAAAATATTGATGGTCATAATGAAAGTAAAAGGCATTATATTTAAAGTAAAAAATAATATGCCTGTGAAGCCTGCTGGCAAATGGTATCATTGAGGCCAAGTGCTTAGCAGGATTCAGTAAAAGGTTATACATACATATTCATACATTTGTGCGGGGAATTAGATTGGACCTGATAAAAATTCATAATGGATATAAATGTTCACAATTCAGGGCATAAATCAGCCACCAGCCTGAGGTTAGAAAATAACTTCCCCTACAGTCAGGTTATTACATAATTATCAATTATACTTGCAGAGGGGGGAAAGGAGGTTGAAGAATAGGGCAATTTCCTCAGAGACATCTGGGAATTACTATTGGCAGACAACTAATTTAGATTTTATCTGGTATGGAAGTTCTTATTACATCAAATAATGTAATTTAGAATTAAAGCATGTGATTTATTTTGTATTTTTTATTCTTCATGTAATCAAGTTCATGCCTAAGGGTAACTGCAGGCCTTTCCATTACAAGCCAGCCTAAGTTAGTGAAATTCACTGCGCTGTGTTTTCTCACCAATTCTCCTTAAAAACAGCTTCACATTTTGCAAGGAAATCAGGAAGATTCACAGCAATTTAGTTTATCAAAGCTAACCAACTAATACAGCCAACTTATGATCTATATTAGCAGAGAAAAAGTTACATGTGTGAACAGCAGCACAATCTCATTCCAAAAAGTTCTCATTTTCATTGTTTGCACAGTAACCTAATGAGACTTGCAAAAGTCCTCAATATCTTGATTTATATCATAGGGGCTACTCCAGGCCTACCTTTTTTGCTTGGTATTATCAGCTCACCTAAGCAAAATCTCATTGAACTCAAGTTCAATGGATTTGTTTCCATCAAGCAACACACCTCCAGCTCTTGTTGCACTTGGAAACAGTCAGTGAGCTATGTAACACACACTGCATGCTAAGAAAAGCAGCCTTTATGACCTTGCAAACAGAGAGCTTGATGGAAAATCAGATTTCTAATCAATTGATTAAGAAACTGCAAATGAATATAGGCAATCCTTTATGTTTGCTTCATTGGAAGAGTAGCTGCATTCTGCTATAGTTTCTGGAAGACATGATACACTTATTGCAATTACAACATAAATTATCACCACAATAGATGTAGAAAGCTGAGAAACATCAATTAACAAAACATCTCACCAATTTTCACAAGAAAAAGGAGTGGTACTTGGCATCAATCTTTCCTAAGCATAATTTCTGTTCCTAGTGAGTACTACTAGAAATATTGCACAGTGTTTGCTCAACATCTGGAAAGTTCTAAGGCCACAGTCTAAAAATACTGTGGTCTTATTAGAAATTTTTTACCGTGTAAACTCTACAGAGTGTAAACTCCTTTCAGACAGATTTATAAAAGGAATGGCTGATGAGAAGGCAGCAGATGCAATGTAGTAGATTTTTTTAGAAAGCTTTCAAAGCACATTTTGTTAAGATTTAAGTTGAGAAATGCATTCCAGCTGGCTTTGCTGTGCCAGCTGTGAGCTGCCGAGGACAGCCGTGCCCTGAGTGCCCAGCTCATCGCCGGTGCTGCAGTGCCGGAGCATTGCCGGCTCCCTGCCAGCTGCCCCCGTGTAACGCAGGGCTGCAGAAGCAGCGCCACTGCTCCAAGGCTCTCTAGGAACAAACAGGGCAACTCCTTTGAGCACAATTAGCTCTTAACAGTGGCAGCCTTATCAGCCCTGCAGCTGAATCAAAAATGAGGATTACAATCGTGTGGGGTGGCTCGTGTTGGGACCATTTGACACCAGTCTTGTGCCAGTCACATCTGCAGTTCTGTCGTGTCTCCTGCCTCCTCCTGTCCTGCTGCTGCTGCTGACACCCTGCCAGCAGCAAGCCATTTCCCTGAGATGCTCTCAGGCTGCTTACAGCCCAGCTGCCTTGCTCTGCCAGCTACCAAACTACTGCTTCAGCTCCCACATCGGCTTCTCCTTCTTAAATGTCTCCTTCTTATGCTGGAAACCCCAGTATGTACTGGGAACCTCAATACAGAGCTGCAAAGACACAGAGTACATTGTACGTCTCAAAAATCTGCAAATACTGATGAAGAATTATAGATGGGGTGTAAAGAAATTATGTGCCCAAAAGTGGTAGTTTTGACCCAGAATAAGGCAAATTGATAAATAGTGTACAAATAATCCAACTAACTTTCAGCGGAATAAATAACTTGAAAAGTATGAATTGGAAAAGAAAATTATGGGAAACTGTCATTCTTAGGAACTAGACGTGAGTTTGCACAGAATATGGCAAGGCAAAAGAGCAATGTCATTTTTGACTCCACATGAAGAGCTGTAAAATCATCAGGTTAAGTAATTTTATTTTTAATTTAGGCCTAAAATATTCTGTTGTATCCCCAATACTGTCAAAACAAAAAAAGATAAATGAGAAAAAATTCTGAAAAAGCCAGGAAAACAGTAATTGGCAGGAGGCCAAGCTTATTTGGAAATATGTGCATATGTTTAACTTGTCCAAACCTTTAGGGGTGATTAAGGGGAACTATAATAGTGGATAACTTCTTCTGGAATAAGCTACTCATAAATAGAAAGTAGAAAAAAGTGGTTAGCAGGGCTGCCAGAGATACCAACACTGCTTTGTTAGCTGCTGCTGCTGAGCAGCCACAAAATTACTCTGGTAGCAGATCTCTAGAGCACATAAAAACCAGGGTTGAATTTACATATTCTGAGAATCAAGCTAACATTTTGTTTTCTCAGAAACTCACTCCCTGAGACAACATGTTTCTAACAGGTATTTAGATAAAAATGAGGCACGTGGTCCAGTCCAGTGCTAAGGACCACACTGATTCTTTGATATTGCTTCCTATTCAAATACAGTCTTCATTACTCTGGGCCAGAACCTGTGTGGCTGCTCCAGGAGCAGCTCCTGCAGAACAGTGTGAATAGAGACAGCAGATTGTTTAGGTTTTAAACTTGGTAATGACAAACTGCCTGCTGCATTAGCAGAATATATGGGGCATGACAAGAGGCTGAGGGAGTAAACAGTGTTTTATATTCCCATGTCATATGACAATCAGGAGGAAAATCTAAAAAAAAAAGGGCAAGAAAAAATTAAGGGTGGTAAAGCAGCCAGCTTGTCCCATTCTCTATGAAAATCAGAACAGTAAATAATACACAATCTCCCCTGTGAAGCGAACACTTTTTTAACAGAGGACACACAGAATGAAAAGTTACAAGATAAGGAAGGTATTCCCTAGAAGAAATTATCAACAAACCATAGATTAAAGACAGTTTTTGTTAAGAGTTCTATTTGTATAGATTTAGTATGCTAAAATACTTTGATAGAACAGATATCCTACCAATACTTGTATTACCTCTTGCATCAGAAAATGAAAGTCAAGGGGACCTCTGCATTATTCTCACTTTCACGCTTTCTGGATTTTTTTTTGGGTGTGGAAGAGGCAACAAAAAAAATCCATGAACAATTATAGTGTGCATTTCAGAAAAATCTAGGCTCCTGGGAATGCTTGAGAATTTAAAGGGAAAGAAAGGCAGGCAGGATCTGGGTCAGCTCACCTATGGCATAATTGTATTCCAATACATGTAGCATAGTGGGGGGGTTCAACAGCATATCAAACTTGGGGTTCTGACTCTAAAGCCCATGATGCTTTTAGAGTCTTTGTAAAATGTTTATTTAGAGTTAGTCTGGCTTCAGCAGTTGAACTCACAAAACTTAAGTATTTTAAAACTCCTCCCACTCTATTCAATGCAATGCAGGATGCATTCATTTCTATTCACACAACTGAACCTGTATTGTAAATAGTAATATATACAGGGTCATTAATTCTGGAATAAGTTCCTTTATCTATATTAGCATATTTCAATATTTATTTCTAGAACAGTTACTCTATTCTAGATTTTTTCTAGAACTGTCTTGGCTCCAGAAAGTCATAAAGTATCTTCCATCTCAGGCATATTGATATTGTAGTTTGCCCTGGGTAAAAGAAGCATTAGAATTCTAGTTGGACTGGGTGCACAGATCATATCATTTATTATTTGCAGATGCCAGGACATTAAAACTTCCAATTGTTTTCCTACCAAACTGAATAAGGCAGTTTGTTAATACAATTACCTCTGTATAATTGGAAACTAAATCAATGATGACTGCATGATTTGAATGCTACTTTAAATAATTTCATTTTTATGATGCTGTTTTGTTGCACATGGTATCACCAAATAGCTTATTCATTTTCCTGCTGACAGTGATTTGAGTTTGCGTATTGCTCTGTGATGGAAGAAGTGCATTTTCAACCTTTCTAGTTTTCTGGGATACAATGTGCATTGCTTTTAATTACTTAGGCTGACACACATTAACAGTAGAAGTCCACAGTCCACAGTGAGTGAAACACGAGGGAAGGACTGGAGGAGGGTGGACTATAACTTCCCTGGAAAAAAAAAGCAGCCACAAGAGGTCTTTGGCAAAGCTCTTAAAGGAAAACAAAATGGGGGGTAGACAATGTATGCAGAACTGAAGTGTTATGAAGGATTTCCCTTCATGAATGAAGGATAACATTTTTTTTCAGGGGAAGATACCTAGTCACTGCCTGTTTGCCTCTGTTTTAAAATATTTGGACAGGCAATAGGGAGAAGGGCCACAGACTACTCAATCTGTCATGGCCTGTTTGGATCTCTCAAATTCACAGGATAATGTACTTTGAAAATTCAACTTTATTTTATAAGCTCATTAGGAAAGAAAGCAAACATGGTGAAGAAGGGCTCAGTCCCCTTTGTACAAACTAGTCTAGGTCACAAATTCACTCACCACATCAGTCATGAGGTTTCTAACTCACAAGTTCTCTAATTCATAACATGCAATTCATTAACTTGTAAGTTGTGCACTTTGCATAGGAAAATACCTATCCAAGGGTGAGAGTGTTCATCCTTCCTCCATGGTGACAGTGCAGGTGTTCCCTGTGTCACATGAGAAGTACAAACATTAGTGTTTTATCAACACTGTCTTCATCACAAATCCAAAGCATAGCACCATACAAGCTACTATGAAGAAAATGAATTCCTTCCCAGTTGTAGCCAGTACAATCTCCACACCTTAATCCCTACTATTTTTATCATGCTCAGGTCCCATATTATCCTCATCAGTCACCTTCCTCTTCCCCATCCTTTGATATCTTCACAGATATCATTCCCTGTAAAATGTCCATAAAATGCCTGTGAAATGTCCATTGAATTATTTAGTCCAGGACGTTAGGCTCCATCTGTTCTGGTGGTCACTCAGGACCAGAGAGCTGCTGTGTTGTGTGGAGTTATTGGGCACCAAAGCCAGCTCAGGTCACTGCTGCACAAGCCCCACTTCTTGCAAGGCTTGTTCTCCACTGGCAGTGGTTCCTGCTACAGTAATCCTATCACATGCAACTCAGATCATAGCTTATAATAATTTAAAGGTGTATCCATAACAGTCTCCGTTGCTGGTCCCTTTGGACTCGTACCCTTGCCTCTGCTCCAGTGTGGACTTATCCAGAGACTCCAGTCCCTTAGGGGTGGACCAGCTCCAGTGTGGACCTACTTATGGGCCACAGTCTCTCCAGAGTACAGCTAATGTGGCCTGGCCTTATGCACAGTCACTTTGAGGTGCACCTCCTCCAGCACGGCCTTATCCAAGGGCCACAGTCTCTCTAGGGTGTACCTGCTGTGCCATAGACATATCCATGGCCACAGATGCTTCTGCTCCAACATGCTCTTATCCACAACCACAGACACTTCAGGTTGTCCTGCTCCTGCAGGGACTTATCCACAGGTCAGGTCCCTTCAACTGAAGCTGCCGCTGGAGCTGCAGCCCAGGCCATGGGCCAGCCCAGGCACATTGCCATGGCTGTTATCAAAATGCTGCCAGCCACAGCTGGGTAGGATGATAAGCACTACAGCAAACAGCCAGAGTGAAAAGAAGCCACTAACAAGCTCTAGACGAAAGCGCAGCGTGGCAAGGACAGCACCCTGACAATTAATAGCTAAATAGCACTAAAAGCTATAAATTCAGTCTAGCAAACTCCGACCAAACCTGTCTTTACCTCAAAGCATTTGAGCCCCAAGTTGGTCACCAAAACAGGACTGTCATAGTTTAACCCCAGTGGGCAGCTTAGCCCCACACAGCCACATGCTCCCCAGTGGGATGGGGGAGATAATTAGAAGGGTAAAAATGAGAAAATCTGTGGGCTGAGATAAAGACAGTTTAATAGGGAAAGCAAAAGACATGCACACAAAGCAAAACAAGGAATTTATTCACTTCCTACTGGCAGGCAGGCATTCAGCCATCCCCAGGAAAGCAGGTCTTCACTACAGGTATGGGTGACTTGAGAAGAGAAACACCCCCAGTCCAAACATCACCCCCTCCTTCCTTCTTCTCTCAGCTTTATATGCTGAACACAGCATCATATGGTCTGGAATATCCCTGTGGTCAGTTGGGGTCAGCTGTCTCAGCTGTGTCCCCTCTCAGCTCCTTGTGCACCCCCAGTCAGCTCCCTGTTGGGGCAGCCCAAGAAACAGAGAAGGCCCTGACACTATGCAAGCACTGCTCAGCAATAGCTAAAACATAGGGATGTGTTATCTTCCATCTGTTTTAATACATTGTTCTCAAGAATTTTTCAACTTGAAAGCAAGTTGATTTCTAAGGTTAAGTCATCAGGCTGTAACGAGACCAAAACTCTAACAATCACGCATTCAAATCATATCAATGCCAGCTTATTCTACAAGATGAGACAAGTACCAGCAGAAGATCAGCTGCTCCTGATTCCTCTGAGTCAAATTTAAAGCTTTCCTCAGGAAGATTAAGGTTTTATATTCTACTTATTCATATTCATGTACGAAGTCTTAGCACTTCCTGTATTTCCGTGGTTCCCAGGAATGAAATCATAACCAATACTTAATGTCTGGGATGTGGGCAAACATTGTAAGCATATGGTAACAATTTCACTAGTCCTAGAGACAGGCTCTTCTTCCATGAAGACATGAAAGAGCCAGTACTGTACTTCACGTATGTTGATCTCATCTAACTTTTAGATGGTAGGGGTTAGGGAAGATGAATTCCAGCCATAGTTGCTGAAAACATGCCATCTTATGCCAATTAGCAAGCAGGGGTCTATGGTCCATCTCATGACTCTGTGATGTAACATGGGAACAGAACTTGTGTCACATGTGATGCTAGTTTCAGGCTGCTTGATTGAGATCTCTGTAACACAGAGGATGTCTTCCTGCCACTGAGTGAAAAATAAATGTTGCTTCACTGATTCCTTTCATCAGTGTTTTTCTAGGAATATCACAGGGACTGATTTTAAAATAAAATTCTTTATTAAAAATGTAACATCAAAAAAACTCAAAATCCCAGATCCTCAGAGTCACTTCTCATTACAGTTTCGGTCAAAATAGTCACTGGTTGAAAGGTCAGAAATTCAGTGACTGAAGCTGACTTGGCAAGTCAGGACTTGTCTCCCAGCATTTTTCAGAGGTTTGAAAGTTGTTATTTCAACAGATATTTTCTAACATTACCCTTTAATCTGAAGGTACCAAACTAGCAAGTTTTTAAAAAGTTTGTTCTTCAGCAGTAGATGGCACTATCAAGTTTCACAAATATTGTAACATAAATTAATATAAAAATTTATGCTCATAAATTATTTTTAAAAGAACATGAAAATATATCAGTATAAATTCTGATAATGAAACAAATACTTTTCTATATATTAAAATTGAGAAAAAATCTAATGCAAGAATAGGAATGAGAATGTCAAATATCAAAATAGGCAACATGTAACATTTAAAATATGTGTCATAAAAAGTTCTCTATCCTCTTTGTAAAGTACCACCTTGAGTTGTTCTTGAATATGCTACTTCAGCTACTTTGAATTTCCCAGAAATTATATGTATCTAATTTGCATATAAACTGTAATACTGCAATAATGAGTGTCAATACATCTTGAATAAGTTATGTACTTTTTATAAGGTAAACTGATCTATAGAAACAGGATTATGGCAAATGGAAAAGAACATTTAGATTTTTCTTTTACAGTCAAAAGTTTATACCTAACAAGCAGAGACTAGAGCAGTACGTGTAGGGCCAGATTCCTCCATGTATATTATTTGGAATTATATCCCAAATAAACTCCAGGATTAAAAAGATGCAATGTTCATTTAAAATATTTTCTTCAAAACTTTAGTATATAAAAATCTGTAAAGGGCAACTCACAAATAAATCTGTGTTTCCAGGTATTCCAGATAGTCTGATGACACAAAATAACAGTATCACAAAAGCACTGCAGGTACTTTGTTTCAGAACCTCCCAACGGCATACACCTCATTCCTCAGCAGTGTACAGCTGGAATAATCCAGTGCAATGCAGCATTTTCATTAAGCTGGTTTTTGGATGGCTGCCTTCCCATTAGAAATGAAGTGCTGGTCTGCCTGAGCATAAGGTGTGAAGATAAGGAAAGGGGAAAAGAAATTAAGGAACACAAATGAAATATATAGTCAATGCTCTTTTATCTACCCGACCAGAAAATGTCCTTGCCATTTTTTTTTCACCCCAGGCTCCAAGCAAGCATACTCTCCAAGCTCTGAATACTACTTCTGCACTATGATACAACCTATGCCAATGCCTAGGATTCACACTTTCTTTTATTTTGTTTTCTATTAAATAAAGCATGCCTAAAAGACACTTTTATAGCTCCACAGCATTTTTTTCATGAACTGACATTGTGTATTACTTTTGTGCTAATGCAGTCTGCTAATTGTTTCTTTTGTAATACTGAAAAAGTCAAAACCTGGTCCTTAATAAAAACATAATTTGAAAGGATCTGGCAGCAGCTGCATTCAAAAGGTTTTTTTAACTTACTACAGCCCGTTTCCATTTCTCCAGAATCTTCAACAAGAGTACTTCTTGTTGGGTTCACTTGGGCTCACTTTCAGACCTCAGAATAAAGTGGTACTACAAAAACAATATGCATATACTTTAAATTTTGCTGTTTGTTTTCCATTACAAATAATTCATTGTCACTTTGCATTCTACCTCCATGGAATCAAAGCCATAGCATTGTAAGAGCTGCTTCAATATACCTAATTCATTCAGCACATCTCCTGCTTAGACCTCCACAACTCCTGCTTAGACTCCACAGTGTTTAGTGGCTCCATGGATGTGCTTTAACTAAACTTTCATTATAAAGAAAGTGCTTCCACTACATCTTGTACAGTTATCAAATATGCGTATAAGAAATCTACCTAAATTACAGGTTCTTCTTCCTTCCAAGGGATATATCAATTTCATATAATTACACACACAGCTGCAACATGAAGGTGCAAAGAACTTCTAAATTATTAGAGATGTATCAGATTTATACACTTGTGCCATTTTTTAAGTTGTAAAGTCACAGTCTTGTGCCTTGAAGTGCAAACCTGAAAATGAGATCTTCACGCTAGCTCTGTTTAAATGGCACCAACAGCCCAGCAGCTGTGCATACCCAAAGCAGCGCCTGAGAGAAACTCAGGGCAGTGCTCTGGCTGCAAAGCACAGAAACGAAACACCCACAAAGGACTAGGGATATTTCTCAGGTTTAGTAAGAGTGTCCTAATTCCACACTATTTGGTTCAATTAGTCATTGAAAGTAGCCTCAGAAATGGGCTCAAGGAGTGGCCATCTGAAAGGTACATATTGTCATATGCCAGGCTACACACAATTGCAGCAGACCCTTTCGAAAGTGATATTCAGTGCACTGATTGTTTGACTTTCAAGGGGAGTTCAGCTTGCTGAGTAAAGGAATTCACCATATAGCGACAGGTGCTTTAAGAGAA